AATACAACAAATCTCACAATACAATATGTGAATTAAATTTATTCCTAATGTGATTTATAAAATACTAACTTTTATTCTGATTATGATTTATAAAATACTAACATTAAATCTATACCTCATGCTTGACTTTCTGATTAAAATTTGATTAAATTTTTTGGGTGACTAGAACTATATTGTTTCTTTCCTCTACCTAACTAGTCAATATAATAATTAACCATTAATTTTTGTCAATAATAATAGTTTTTAAATATTTTAAAAAATATATATATAGATTAAATTTTGAGAGCCAACTGGCCGATGCTAGCTGCCAATAATTAAATTCTTTGAAAACGCATCAATAAATCTTATTTTCAAAAAAATTTATAAACTTTTGTTAAGACATATTAAGTCCTAAATTCAGTTTATTTTCTCGTCTACTCTTCTTATAGTTTAATTGCACAGTAATATATCATTATAATATATAGTAAATAAAAATTAAATTAAAATAAATTGTAAATAATTTGAATTAAGATAATAGAATGTGAAGGACTTCATCAACTTCCAGTGATGTTAAATACACTCACAAAATTACTCTTAACAATCACATTCGAGAAGCACAATTTTCCATGCATGGAAAGAGGTAGGTGTGAATAGAAATAATTATACATCTTTTAATTATTGAATAAATATATAACCACGTAATACTTCGATAGTATCAAATCACTTTTCCTTTTCTTGTGGTTTAACCATGGAGTTTGAATATGGCCTCAGTGTTTGAGTAACATTTGGGAGATAAGATAATAATTATAATGATCACATTTTTACGTTATATTTAATTTATTGCATAAATTAATTTAATGAATACATGATAAATTTAGTATAATATAAAAATATGATATTATAGTAGTTGCTGCTTTGGGTGAAACTGATGGAGAGGAACTAGTGGAGTTACTCAAGAGTAGAGTGGCATCTTGGGTGAATCTCTCCATGAATATGGTGGGTGTTAATTTCCGACCATACAATCAAACGGAAAATTCAACTGGAAAGTATCGATAGAATAGATTAAGCCCAACAATCTGCACAAGAATATGAGAATCCAGCAGTGGTTTGTCCACCTAGAGCACTCCAACGATCAAGTTAGTATTCAATATCTCTCAAAGATAGCAAATTGTGTTTAAACTTATAAGAAAAAACCTTATCTTATATCCACGAGGGTGCCTTCTTTTTATAACAAACCATGACCTGATCCTCTTAAAAGCCTTAGTTCAATGGACTCAAGTTCCATGCTTATCCTAGACCCTCATTTAGATAGAGATAAACTCTTCTTGAGTCTTATTTCTATCTAGACTGAAATTCTCCCCTGTTCTGGGACTCTTGTCCTTTATCTACTTATCTCGGATTTCAGTATCTCCCCAGATGACCTCGGCTTGGCTGAAATCATCTCGGCAACGTGACCAAGCCACGTAACATCTCGACTGATATTTCAACATCACCTTAACCACGTGTTGTCACTCTCAAAATATGTCCCCACTAATATATCACACAATACAATCAATGATTCTATTTACTCTCTTGAAACAATTACGCTTAAAAGCAGAGAAGGCCCATATCCTAGGTTGGAGCATTAAGGAAGATTGGCCCACATCAATGATGCTGACCTGCTGTTAGTAGAAGCAATGAGAATGCATTCTCCTTGATCAACTTACGCACTGTTCTGCCACTTGTGGATTTTCTTTTTATTGGGTTTTGCTTTCTTTGTCTGCTGGTCTCTGTTTTGAGGTATTTGGCTATATTGTATTTGGTTAGATGATTTGAAAAAATAAAATGTAGATAAAATATAAATAAAATATACTTATAATTTACTTAATTTTACACATTTTTTCTTTTTTATTTCTAAATCTCTTCTCAAATCTCCTAACCAAACACAGTGTTAGTTTCTCACCAATTCTCAGTATGGTGCTTGCACATGATTGGACTAGTTCCAAGGTGCCAATCTAAATGAGATTATGATATCTTACTATGATGCAATTTTTGCACGTGCCATTTTCACTCTTTGTTGAAGTAAGATGTTATTGTATATTAATTTTCATCAATAAAGATTTATCTCTTCTTTACGGATAAAAAAATTAAAAAAAGAAAAGAAAAGAAAAAGAAAATAGTTGCTGTTTTTGGGTTAAAGTACGAAATGTCCATGGTACAATAGAAGGTGTGCACATGCAAGTAATAGAATCATTGTCCTTAGACTTAGGCCCAACATTTTATTTTAATATTTTTGGTGGCAATGGCTTATTTACTATATGTTTTAATTTTTAATAATACATTTATCACTATAAAAATATTTTTGAAAATATAATTCAATTACTTATACTTTGTAAATCATATTTAAAAAACAAAACAAAACAAAACTCATAAACAAATGTCAAAATGTCTCAATTATTTTTTCACTTTGATAAATTTCTCAATATCATTATCAATACCAAATGATCATTCTATAAATATAAGACATACATCTAAAAAGTCTTCAAAAAAATTATTATCAAAACGAGTGCAAATATGTAAAAAAAATAAATAAATAAATAATAAAAATGAAAAAAAATGGAAAAAGAAAACACTAAGTATTTATAAGTAAATAAGTTCAATCAATAAGATCTGTTGGTAATTAGGACTTTTTTGGTTTTTAAAGGAGATACAATACAAAGAATATTTCTATCCAGAAAAAAGAAAAAGGAATGACGGTGAAACTTGAAGCCCAGACCAATTGCTTGGTGAAAAGGGCCCTAACAACTGGGCTGCTCAACATTAAGTATAAGTGGCTGGCATTCTGTTGGGTCAATGATAGGCCTGTATCGCCCGAGCTTGGATTGCATTAAATAACAAAAACAAAAACAAAAACAAAATATTGACTTTGCTTGGAAAGTAAGTTGGTTTTTTGGCTTTTTAACTTTTTAATTATTTGTCTGGAGCTAAAATGTCTCATTTGGGTTGGACTTTTTGAATTTTTTGACTTTTGTGAGAGAAAAAATAAAATAATTATGATTTGGATATGACATTTTGTCTTATTGATTTTTTAGCCTATTTTATCTTTTTATAACTATATTAGCCTGGTAGGCCCATGCCAAACAAGGGCATTGTTGATTTTTCATTTTAAGAGAAAACAAATTGCATTACTGGAGAAATAATTTTTTGTCATAAATGCAAATACCATAATTACACAAACTTTTCTCATTTTAGGTAAGCCATTTATGGCTAATTAAAAAGAAAAATGCTATCATATATATATAGAAATGTGATGGTCTCTAATTGCCTCTGCCAACTGGACCATGCTATTAGGTCTCAGTGGTCCCATCATGAGGCAAACATTGATGATCCGAGCTATTTATTTTGTAAGGTTATTCAAATAGATCTCAATGTAGAGAATTGGATTGATTGATCAATCTAGACACATGACTAGATCAATATCAATATATATATATATTTTTTTTTTTTTTTAAATGAGTGATTTATTCTTGAAATCATAATTTGTAATCTAATTTTTTTTTTATGACAAATGTGATTCTACAATGATTATTCAATCAATTTAATTTTTCACCAATCTTACAAAATATATAATTCAAATTATTAAGATAAGTCTCGTCATTAGCCTCCTAATACTCAACAACACGGTCTAAGCTAGTTGTCTATTGGAAATAAGTTGATTCCTGTACATGATCAGAAGTATGAAACAATGAATTAGAAATTTCACCAAAATTTTATCCTTTTGTTGCTATGTTTTTCAAAATTTTGGGTTTAAAATGAGACCAAAAGTTCATATTGTTGGCTGTATAATTTGTAAAAGCCAATTACAATTCAACACGTAGCACGAAGAAAGCAATTTAGGGAGTTAATACAAGTTATCAACCAAAGTCAGACACATGTCAGTCCATATTGGTAATAATGGATCTGCGTAGCACTAAAACAATCGAGGGATACAAAGTGATGTGGCCTAACAGTTACTCACAAAGTTCAAATTCAAAATCAGGAGGGAAGTTTAACTGCAAGAGTGGCGTAGTGGGACTGATTGTGAGAGAGCATGTTCAGCAATCATGGGAGGACATTTTGACGGTTAGAAGCCTACTTTGACGGTTATCATTGAAAAGTATAAATAGCAGAGAAGGCCCCAGAATGAGAGATCTAGACTCAGATAAAAAAACCAGTTTACACTACAAGAATTTTCACTTTTGGCGACTAAATTTTCAGTCGCCAAAAGTCATTTTTTAGTCATCTATAGTCTTTAGCGACTAAATTTTTTGGTCGGAAAATTAGTAGCCGAAGAGTAGTTGGGAAAGCTAATTGGCGACTAAAAGTCACCAAATGTATTCATTTGCCGACTAAATATCTAGTCGCCAATAGGTTGGAAAATTAATTAAATAATACATTTTTGCCGACCAATTTTTTTGTCACTAAAAGCCAATGATTTAGTCGCGGAAAAATTTTTAGCTACTAAATTTTTTAGTCGCCTAAAGCAAATACTAGTGTTTTGGCTACTAAAATTTTAGTCGCCTAAAGTCAATCTTTTTTGGCTACTAAAATTTTAGTCGGCAAATACTATTTCTTTTGGCTACTAAAAATTTAGTCACCTAAACTTCTACATTTTTGCTACTAAAAATTTAGTAGCCTAAACTCCCACATTTTTTGCTGCTAAATTTTTATTCGCCAAAAATATTTTTATTATTCAACTTTTGTTTTTAGCTACCAAATATTTTAGTCGCCAAATATTTGATTTTTTTTTTAGCTACAAAACTTTTAGTAGCCAAAGGTTTGATTTTCTTTTGGCTACAAAACATTTAGTAGCCAAATGTTTGTTTGTTTGTTTTTTTTTTTTTTTTTTTTTTGCTACAAAGCGTTTAGTCCGCGAAAACTTGATATTATGTTTTATTGCAAATATTATAATGTGTCCATAACCTGTTTGTATTCTATGCAACCTGTAATACGTATATAAATAAAATTATACATAAGCTATCAATCATTCCACAATCTGCATCCGTATACAAAAAATAAATTACTTTAACTGCCCAAGTACATGCAAACCAACTATTGTCCAAACTAAAATAATAATTCCATAAAACATATAGAATTATCTGTTCGCTGCCAAAAGTTTTCTGTATCAGTAATATTTAACTGCACAAAAGCCGGAGACGACAAAAGTATCATATTACTTCTATACAAAAGTACAATTTCTTCTCCATACACCAAAATATCTCTGGAAGTCCACGCAACAAAGTCATCTACAAAAAAACAAAAAAAAAACCATTATAATTGGACCCAAAAATGCCCAACTTCATGAATGAATTTGACAACAAGTGACAAATAAAAATAAGTGAGAAGCAACCTTCCATGATGAATCAATTATTAGTCATTCAACAGTCTTTCTAAAGTCTTTTGTTATAAGGAACATTGTTAAATGCAGAACAATCATTACTAAATCTTTCATTAGTAACATAAAGCTAATGTAACAATCTTCTATTTGTATGCAACATGTATCCAAATTCTGTGGCTAAACCAATATCAAAGCGCAATGTGAATAGAAAGTATTCTTTTTACCAACTTCCTCATTATTTGTTTGCAAAAGGCACTTGAATCATTAGATTGGATATAAAACCATTGCTGCTTAATAATGTATGTCAGTGCCATTTCAGAAAGGATATTAGAACATGTGATAAAAATAATAACAAAAATAAATTTCAATCGTAAAAGGAAATATGTAGAAATATATGTTGAGACACCTATAAATGGTTCATCAAAGAAAGAATACTTGATATCTCATGACGCAAATGGCCTCAGAAACACCATGAGCATGTTTCATACTTGTATGAAAGCTTAAATATAATATAACACACGTGTGTACGTTCAAAAAATTAGCAAGTTTAAAGCAAGACGTAAACTGAGTTCATATTGATTTCTGAATATTTTTCCCATAATTTTCCATTACTATACATCTCCAATACATTCTATCAGTTGTCACAAGTCCTATTTGTAATGGGGAAGTTGCCCGTGAGAGTCAGACGGAGGTTCGAGGGCTGTTTGAAGTTTTGCCCCCAAAACGCCCTTTTTCGACTAAGTTTTGGGCGTATTCGGCTCTAAATCCCAACCTACGGGTTTGAATAACATTCTGTCAGTTGTCACAAGTCATATTTGGCATGGGGAAGATTTTCGTTTCGGCCACACGGCGGCTCAAGAGCTGTTTTGAATTTTCGCCTCCGAAATGCTGTTTTCCGACTAAGTTTTGGGCGTATTCGGCTCTAAAACCCAACATATGGGTTCGAATAACATTTCGTCAGTTGTAACAAGTCATATTTGGCATGGGGAAGCTATTCATGTTGGCCACACAATAGTTTGGGGGCTGTTTTGAATTTTTGCCCCTGAAACGCCTTTTTTCGACTACGTTTAGGGCGTATTCGGCTCTAACTCCCAACCTACGAGTCCAAATTACATTCCGTCAGTTCTCACAAGTCCTATTTGTCATGGAGAAGCTATCCGTGCAAGCCACATTGTCGTTCGGGGGATGTTTTGAATTTTCGACCAAGTTTAGGGCGTATTCGGCTCTAACTCCCAACCTACGGGTCCGAATTACGTTTCGTCAGTTCTCACAAGTCCTATTTGTCATGGCGAAGCTATCCGTGCGAGCCACACGGTCGTTCGAGGGCTGTTTTGAATTTTCGCTCCCGAAACGCCCTTTTTCGACTAAGTTTAGGGCGTATTCGGCTCTAACTCCCAACCTACGGGTCCAAATTATACATTTTTATACAACTCTGCCAATGATTGAAAATTGCAAATGCAATGCACAGCCCCCACCATTGTCCCATCTCTTAGCTTATGTTTACTTCTAGGTTGACAAGTTGTTGGTTATGGCAATTGGTTAGTTTTATGTACTCCTTATATTCTTATAAACTAGGTGGAATATTTGTAGTGGTCATGATGGCTCAAGCACACTTTTTTGGGTCTTCAGTCCAAGTTTTAGGAAATTCAGATAGGTTATGCCCATCAAATTCTTAGTTTCCAAATATGAATAGCTTAGGAGCTCTTAAAGTCCATGTATAGTTGGATGCAATCCTACGTGAATTTATGTGTGCTACCCATTATATACTTCTACTTCTCTACTGCACTAAATTAACATTTAAAGGCCCAAAACCATATCTACCTCATCATTTCTCCTAACCCCAAATCAAATTTTACCAACCCTAAACCTTTCCTTGTAAATCCTTCAACTCTAACCACTACACATCATTGAAATCAATTGCTTATTAATATTCACAATCGTACTATCACAGCACAAAACCCTAAGTTTGGGGCATTTTCGGGTCAAACTCCAAGCCTACGGGTCCGAATTACATTCCGTCAGTTCTCACAAGTCCTATTGTCATGGGGAATGTATCCGTGTGAGTCACGCAGTGGTTCGGAGGTAGTTATGAATTTTCGCCCCTGAAACGCTCATTTTCAACTAAGTTTAGGGCGTATTTGGCTCTAACTCCTTATGTACAGGTCCAAATTACATTATGTCAGTTCTCACAAGTCGTATTTGTCATGGGAGAACTGTCCGTGTGAGTGACATGGTGGTTTGGGGGCTGTTATGAATTTTCGCCCTCGAAACGCTCATTTTCAACTAAGTTTAGGGCGTATTCGGCTCTAACTCCCTACGTACGGGTCTGAATTACAATCCGTCAGTTGTCACAAGTCCTATTTGTCATGGAGAACGTGTCCGTGTGAGTCACGCTGTGGTTCGGGGGCTGTTATGAATTTTTGCCCTCGAAACGCTCATTTTCGACGAAGTTTAGGGCGTATTCGGCTCTAACTCCCTACGTACGGGTCCGAATTATATTCCGTCAGTTCTCACAAGTCGTATTTGTCATGGGAGAACTGTCCATGTGATTGACACGGTGGTTCAGGGGCTGTTATGAATTTTTGCCCCCGAAACGCTCATTTTCAACAATGTTCAGGGCGTATTCGGCTCTAATTCCCTACGTACGGGTCTGAATTACATTCCGTCAGTTCTCACAAGTCCTATTTGTCATGGGGAACGTGTCCGTGTGAGTCACGCGGTGGTTCGGGGGCTGTTATGAATTTTTGCCCCTGAAACGCTCATTTTCGACTACGTTTAGGGCGTATTTGGCTCTGACTCCCTACGTACGGGTCTGAATTACATTTCGTCAGTTCTCACAAGTCCTATTTGTGTTGGGGAACATGTCTATGTGACTCACACGATGGTTCAGGGGTTGTTATTATTTTTTGCCACCAAAATGCTCTTTTTTGACTAAGTTTAGGGTGCTTTTGGCTCTAACTCCCTACTTACTGCTCCAAATTACATTCTGTCAGTTTAGGGTGTTTTTGATCTTAGCTTGTCCTCATGCTTAACAATAATGACATAGTATTGTTTAGTGAATATGTAAATCTAAGTTTGCATAAGTTTTAGTATGATATGAATAAAATTAACGTAGGACTGGACAACAAATAAGGGTAATAAAAAGGGTTTAAAAAAAAAGGATGACAAAAAAAGTGATCTGTAAGACAACAACCAAGAACAGTCAAATCAGGCATGTTTTCTTTTTACTTTTCTTCAAATGAAAAAAGCCTGTTGCGTCTAGACACATATTTTTTCCCCTGTCGCTGCTCAGAAATTAGAATATTATTGGTATCGGTGACCAAGAGATGCAAAGGTTAGGCACCCTTGCAGCTTCTAAATAGATTCATCAGCCTACTGGAAAAGCCCTTCCCACAAAACAAGAATAAGGCAAAATGACACAAAAGTGGACATAGATCCACCATATAATAGTGATGGGCACCAAAGATTTTCAAGGAAGTCCGGTATAAAAATAAGATAAATTCAGCAAATATGAAGGGGAAGAAAATGAAAGACGTAGGTATTCCTCTAAATTTTCTGCATTCAATTATCTAGAATAAATGGAAATGTACAACAAACATGCTCTAAAAATCAAACAATGCACATGTTATTTGCTCACTAAGTGAGTGTTTGCTCAACTAATAACACCTCCCTCATCCCCCCAATGAAGGGAGTGTTTGTACCATAAACCCATAATGAAAACATCACACAAGCAAAAATTTAATATCATATATTATAGGAAAGTCAATGATGATTAATGCTGGTATCAGAAATAGATATAGATGAGTCACCTACCTCTTTTTGGAGCAGTGAATTGAATAAGGAGAAAAGCTACCAAATCAACGAAAGCTATCAAACTCCAGTTCAGCAAAGCAGGTGCAAGAGAAGAGAAGGTAAAAGCAATCATTATCTCAATTACAAATCATGTGTAAGCATGTATGTATGTATATATATTACACATTCAGCAAAGAATACAGCAACAGTTCAGGAAATTAGAACTCACTTGGATGCAAGCAATATTTTCATATACCGCAAGTCATACTAAAACTAACGTAATTTAAGATAAAGACAAGGTGATCATTTTTGCAGCTTTGCTTACAAACTATATGAGAAGAAACACGGTGGCATCACTAAAAACTGGATTCTATATGCATAAAGAGCTTCCTATTTGCTCCACTTTTGTCAACAATCATCAACTTCATAACCATCAAAGATAATTAACGTGAACATTGTTCTTGTCCCCATATGGGCCATATCTGATCAACAATATAAGATTGGGCCACTCTAGAAAATGTTAAATAATGGCTTCACTGTGACCTCAAGCCATGATATATGCAACAGAAGTTTCTATGAACCTTAAGAATCTAAGAAGTATTTAATAGTAAATAAATATCCAAACACCCTAAAAACATAAAACATAAAAAGATAGAAACTGATTGACCAATTGGTATCAAATTCACCCACCAAAGGGTGTCAGAAGATTTCAGGAGCACCCGATTCACGTGCAGGGATGGCTGGTTGGTTGTTTCAAAGCTCCAATATTTATACCAAATAACCCCCCTCCCCAACCTTAGTTGCACAAAATAGGGTTGGAGGCAGGGGAGCTGGGGTACATAAAGAGCATCTAATGTTGTGTGGACCTAGGGGAGTGTTTATGTATTTGTCATACAAATAGATCGTAAGAAATATTTTTCTTGCCAAGTTATAAATTATAATATATATGTTAAATGGTTAATTTACAATATGACTTAAATTATTAAACATAAGCATGGGAAATTCTTATTACAAAAATAACAATTCATCACCAATAATATATATCTTTACACCTTAATTGTCAAAAAATCGAACTGCAACTTTATCTCAGTTCGAACTGCAACTTTATCTCAATAATAACACAATTCTAACAAGATTCTTTTGCTCTGACTTCCATCAGCAGTTACCTCCCCCACCTCCAGTCACATCTCCCTCCCCGCCACACCCTCTCCCCTAGATGTATATGTATATATATGATACACGCACAATGCACATATAGCTTAATATGTGATTAAATTAAAAATTAGGGAAATTCAAATAAAATATTTGCTTCACTAGTTTAAATTATAAAATTATGTTAAATTTTTGCAAAGGAGAATCAAAAGAAGAAAACAACAAAGAGGGCATACACACCATTTCGTAGCTAATGTAACAGATTCAGGATAGCACTTTACTCCAAAACCACATGAGTGGTCTTTGGCTATTTTCAAATGTCAGGTGGGGAAGTGTTCCGGAGCCATACCACATGGGCTAAAGTAAAATTTTCCCTTTGTTTAATTAAGAGAAGACTTACTGTTCACTTTTTCTAAAATAATTCTAGTCACACACCTTTCCAGAGCCGCCTCACCTAACTAGTGTGCAAATTATGCATCTTTGAAGCCACTAACACATCCACTAATTTTAACTACATCAGTTACAGGATGAGCTCAACTGTTTCCCTGCTTCAGCTTCATCAGGGCTGGAAATTGACAACACAGCAATGGTTTTGGGGGGATAGGGAATGAAAGGCTAGTGAATTAATAATCAGCTTTTATGACTTGAAGCAGGTCTTCAGATGTGCTTCTATATTTCATTCGACAGTTCTTGACATAAACCAGGAAGGATTATAAGTCTATATCCCGTAGAACAACCCAATTTAACTTGTAACAGGAAACGCAACTTCTCAGCAAATATCCAGTATACATTGAACTAGTTCATTAAATGGCTCATTTCTAATATTTTTAAAGTCACACACATAAACATTTAAAGTAGATTCAGCTGTGGTATTATTCTTCTCTGTCAAATCCATAAAACAAAAATCAAACCCATTTTGGACATGAAGAATTTCCTAATTTCATATAAATCAAACACTTCAACCAATGAGCCCTTAACCGAAATCAAAATAAACTAAGAAATCATATAAACCCTAGATTAAGTGTGAGAAATGGGGAAATAGGGGAAGGGAGAGAGAGAGTGAGGGGGGAACCCGAGAGATGGCTTCATAGAGAGAGAGAGAACTAGATCGTAACACCCAGGAGAGGACCGAACAGAGAGAGACAGAGACAAACTTGTGATTTGCGGCAGTGTTGGTGGTGATTTTGGCGTTGCGGTGCTGGCGACGTGCGATGGTGGAGACGAACGGTGGCCAGTGATGGTGTGGTAGTGACAATCGGTGGTGAGTGGGCCTTTGGTGTGGTGAGTGGTCTGTGTTTGTGAGACAGAATAGATACAAAACATATGTATCAAAACAGGAGGGCGCGCCAATTCAAAAGCTTCCCTATAATTTTTTTTTCCTACTTTTAGCGACTACATTCTTTTTAGTCGGCAAACAAATGTCTATTGTCTAATTTGGCTACTAATTGTTCTTTTTGTCGGGAAAAAATAACCATAGAATCAATAAATGATTTTTGTCAATGATGGTTTAGTAAATAATCCTATCTTTTGGCGACTAAAATTGGTTTATTCGCCAAAAGGTTATATACACAGACTAAAATTAGAATTAGTAGCCAAAAAAATAGGCAAACGCCTACTAAAATCTTTTTAGTCACCTATTTACATGAATTTTAGCGACTAATTTGTTTTTTAGTCGCCAATAACTAATATATGGCTACTAAAAATAGTTAGTAGCTAAAATTTTGACTATTGGCAACTAAAAGGCAGATTAGTTGATAAAGGTCTATCTTTTGGCGACTAAAAAGGTTTTAGTCGCCAAATTTGGTCCCTGAAGGTGCAAATTGTTGTAGTGTTATTTACTTCATATTTGTTTCTAATTTTTCCAGTTCTTTACATTTCTGCATTTCAGTTCCTGTACTACACTTCGTTTCTTAGGAGTAGTTTCAAATAGTTTGTTGCTGTAAACCTCTACGAGGCTGGGTCAGATCATTGTAAGTTTTCATTTTACATAATAAAATTTAGATTCTGAGATTGTTCTTCACTTGTTGTTATTTATCAAATTCTCCTAAACAAGCCACCAGTAAAAGTCCTCTTCATTAAGACTGAGAGAACTATAACACAATCGTCTGATAATTGCTTAACAATTAATATTCTATAAGGACTAATTGATTCTTGCTGACACGCTTAAAATTACATTATTAACCTTCGAAAGCCAAAAAAGCCATCATATATTTTTTGGCACGCCCGGTGGGACTAATTGAAATGGTTAGACGTAGGAGACAAGGAGAAAATGAACACTTGGAAGAGGGTGTGGAAGGAGAGGTAGAAGTACCTGATCTAGAGAATAATGTGATAACACATCCCATGGAAGCAACTATCTCATCAGAACCTATGGTCGAACAGACCAGCAATTCAAAACATGCACCACATGTTTAAAATATTGGATGAGGCCATGGAATTGGACCAACAACTGTTCCATCTACACAGCCAATGAATCCATGGGTAGGCTTGATAGATGCCATGGGATAGCAGTTAATGTACACAATGGAAAGATGGGTACCATCATTTATGGATCGAATGAATTCCCATCAACCAACTAGCACAAGGCATATGGAGGAAAATTCAAATGTTCCTCAGCAAAGATTGGCTAGAGATAAACAGCCTATGCAAAATAATGGACATACTAATGGTTAGACTAATAATCAAAATTATGAAAGACCATCACCTATACCTCATTCATGGTATGAGCCTCTTTTGAGGCCTATGGTAAATCAAAATGCCTCATTACCTAACAGCGCAGCCATACAAATTGGTGGATTTGGGCCAACATAATAAAATGGCATAAGAGTGTTTCCAAATCCCATGTTCGAAGCCATACCTAGCACAAGGGGTTCACTAATCCCCTGCTCGAATTCACATCTGGGGGGTTGGAAGGGTTTCTTGCGGCTGGGAGAGAAACAACACATGTTCCTCTCATTGCAGCACCTTTCGTAGGACAGGCTCAGAGAGGTTAACCATACCCTTAATAGCAGCCAGTACCACAGGAACAACCAATTTCAAATATACCTCCCTATGGACCAAGAGGACCTCAAGCACAATAGTTTTCACCAAACCCTGTGTTTATTCCTCCAGTGATAGTTCAACAAGCACAAAATATGGTTCCTAGGGACCAAATTGTTGATATTGTCAGAGAAATGTATGGACCTATGGCTTGGGGGGTTCAAACTCCAATGTATAGGAAGCCATACCCAGAATGGGTGGATAGGGTGTATGAATACCCAAGGGGGTTTAGAATACCAGACTTTGCTCTCTTTTATGGAAATGGAAACCAGTCAATAGTAGAACACATCGCTAGGTTCGCAGCTACCAATAATGATTATATGAAGTTAAGACTTTTTCCAAATTCTTTAACTGGGGCAGCCTTTGTATGGTATATTAACCTTACACCTGGTTCTATCCAAACTTGGCAGCAAATGAAGGAGGTATTTCATGCCTTTTTTTTCCAAATGGAGCCTAAAGTTTCCATGGCAGATTTGGCAAGGTTGAGCCAAAGGCTTGATTAGAAAGCTGCTCAATTCATTGCTAGATTCAAAAGAGCACGAAACAAGTATAAGGTCATTCTACCAGAGCTTGAATTTGTGAGATTGGCTCAAAATGGTTTAGAGTTTAGGCTTCGAAAGAAATTCGATTCAACTGAGTTTCGAGACTTAGGCCTTGTTTGGGAACAGGCTAATTTAGTAACTTTTTAGCTATTTGGCTAAAATATGAGCTAAAAAAAACTAGTATGTTTGGGATGACTTTTTGGCTTTTTACGAAAAGATGTGCAAAAAGTAGAGAGAAAAGAAAATCTTTGACTTTTTGGTATGGGTTGTTGACTTTTTGGCTAATTTAGTAACTTTTTGACTTTTTGGCTAAAACGTTCGGTTGCCAAACGAGGCCTTAGTGGAATTAACCTATAAAGTGTCTAGATATGAATCTTTACTCGAGGAAGAACATGATCAAAGTAATGCATCATATAAGACTTATTATAGGGATCCTAATTATGAAATTGAGGAAGAACATGATCGAAGTAATGCATCATATAAGACTTATTATAGGGACCCTAATTATGAAATTGATGCAACAAAGATCGTAGGGAAAAAGTCTATGACCTATGAGACGTTAATTCATAAGGACACTACAATAGACCAGCAATTTAAAAAGAAAGACCTTCATAGGAAGTATTATTTTGATTTAACAAAAGCAGATGACATTTTTTATCATTTGCTTGCAGCAAATTTCCTAAAGTTACCAAAGAGAGTTAAAATCCCTACCCCAGAAGAACTTAAAGGGAAAATGTAATGTAAATGGCACAATTCTTGGTCTCATTCAACTAAAAATTGTATTTTTTGGGGGATAGGATCCAAGAACAAATTCGAAAGAGGAGTTTAAAGTTCCCAGCCAAAGCAGAGAAAGCTATGGGGATTGACATTAACCCATTTCCAGGGATTGGGAAAGCTACAGCCAACGTTGGTGTGCCAAATTTCCAAAACCTATCCTTGAAAGAATTAGAGGAGGTTAATGTGCAGATGCATGTTGTCAGCTAGACTGCTTTCAAGAAAGATACCAGAAGTTCACTAGCAAATGGATAAAGCTTTGCAGACCAAAAGGAGGACTCTAGTGAGGAGGCACTGGATGATGACTCTCTAGAGGTAGCTACCATGCAAAAGATGTGTCCCAAATGCAGGTTAAGTTACAAATGGTTGAAAGGTCTCCCAATTGATGGGAAATAGTATTACAAGGATGTGCAGAGACGCCCTAAACCAACCAGTACCTACAACAAGAGGCCATACCCAACTGGTCCCAGATAGCAGCCATTCTTAGCTGGACCACCAACCGCTAGAGTGCATCCCAAGGGTAAGAGACCTCTGCATGAGTCCAGACCACCCAACTACTACAGGATGGAAAGCAATAATCGTGAAAGAAGGCTTGAAGTGGGCTCAAGTTATGGAATCATAGCCAAAGATTGGCCTCTAAGATCAGCCTCGAACAAGATGGAAGGTAACCACCCTGACAGAAGGCCTGAATTAGGCTCAAGATAGGGGATTAGGGCCAAGCAGTGGCCTCCACAGGCATCTTCGAAGCTGGCTTCGAAGGCATAAACGACTAGTTTAACAACTGAACTAGTGAGTTCATGGGTACCTGAGGTTTCAGATTGGTTTGTCATGTAGAGCAAGCCTAAGAAAATGTATGCCCAGGGAAGTGTCTTTGGAGACCAGGGTAAAATGATTAAACCTCTCTTGGTGGCTCTAAATAATTGGGTATTACTAAAACACCCAAAAACAAAGGAACTAAATATGGTTCTAGTAATTTCTAGGTCTCAAAGGAGGAAGATCTAGTGAAGGTCAATACCAAAAGGATCTGAAGGAAAGTGGAGAGAGTTCTTCATTGGCCTAGTTAAAAGGCCAGACAGAGGGAAAAAAAAAGTCCAAAATTGGATCCTAGTCGAAAATTGGCTTCTCAAAACAAAAGAAGTGTCAGCAAAGAGCACTTGGCCAAAGTTCGCACTGACTCTGAACTAAAAGCCAAGGAAAGATCCATCTTAGCAGGTCTTGAAAAGGCCTTGATGAAAAGCGACAATGAGACAGAAGAAGAAGTTGAACTAGGCCAAAGGAAAGAAATGGCTAAGGATGAAATGTTTGAAGCCTTCATAGCTGAACAGACTTTTTTGGTCGAAAAACCAGCATGGGTAGACCATTCGAAGGAAGTCACTAGTACTGAAGTACCAGAGTGCAACATGGAAGATGCTTCTGAAATAACTGAACAAGTTAGCTTGGAAAAGAAACAAGTGCAGCCAGGAGTTCAGTTTGGCTCATTTTCTCCAGTGTCAGTGAATATGGTGTGTATATTGCCACAAGAGTTCCAGGCTAAAGATAGAAACCAAGAAGGTTAGGAAATTGACCCTATTCCAATTTCTAGTGAAGATTCACAAGTTAGCATGGTTCAAGATGAGTTTGAAGTGGCCACACCAATGGAAACTGAAGATGAGAGTGAGGAAGTGAGTATTAATCTTTCATATCCCTTTGAGTATCCTATAACATCCATGACACAACACGTTAAGCCCTTGTATATCAAGGCTTTTTTCAATGGGATACAAATGAACAGGGTATTGGTGGATAATGGGGCAGCAGTGAACCTGCTTCCGAAGTCCTCTTTAAAGAAACTGGGAAAAAGAAACCCTAGATTAATTCCAACCAGCACAACCATTGCTGGCTTTGTTGGGGATAAGCAGATGGTTCAGGATATTCTGCCCATCAACCTGAGTGTGAGAACCAGAGATTGCATGACGACATTCTTTGTTATAAATAGTAATGCCAAGTATAATACTTTACTTGTCAGGGATTGGATCCACA